GATGAGCGATGCAAGTCTTCCGATGATGTCACCAGAATAAATCAAACAAGCTTTAATTCACAAAAGTGGCCAAAAACCCAGTCTCCCAGAACCAGGTTTCAAGCCACTGACCCAGAAAGCGTGGTCTTGTGTTCGTTCCCAAGACTTAACGCTCCTTATCCAATTAACAGGCAGATGTTGGGATGGCACTTTTCCCACCGGTTGAGTAATAAACGCGATGCTGAAATACAGGATTTTGGGTGCAAACAACTGAATCGGTTGTTCTCACCGCCTCCATCGTGGCCACAGAAGAGTGGGTTTCATTTAAGAAGAGGCATTCTGGGGGGGGGGGGGGGGATGAGAGGAGGCCCTGGCGGTGTGCGGTGTGTGGTGTGGCCTTCTGGCCTACAATTGTTTTAGTTGACCCGCTGGCTAATATGACTTTGTTCCCGACCCTATAGCCGGCGTGAACCATTTCCACAATCCGCACGTCGCGAGCTGGGTCCGTGGTGCCCGGGAATAGGAGTTGGGTGGAAGCTGAAGTATGGGGAGTGTGGGAGGAAGAGGTGGGGGGAGGGAAGAGGGAGGTGGGGGGGGAGAAGAGGGAGGTGGGGGGGGGAGAAGAGGGAGGTGGGGGGGGAGAAGAGGGAGGTGGGGGGGGAGAAGAGGGAGGTGGGGGGGAGAAGAGGGAGGTGGGGGGAGACGAAGAGGTGGGGGGGGGAGACGGGGAAGGTAGGGGGGGATATGGAGGATGTGGGGGGGGGAGACGGGGGAGGTGGGGGGGATACGGGGGATGTGGGGGGGGGGGAGACGGGGGAGGTGGGGGGGGATATGGGGGATGTGGGGGGGGAGACGGGGGAGGTGGGGGGGGGGGAACGAGGGAGGTGGTGGGGGGGAACGAGGGAGGTGGGGGGGGTCCAGGCAACTGAGCTCGCTGTTTGCTTTGGCTACGGCGCTGGACAGCAGAGAAACTCGGCGCTTCATACTGCCACGTGAGCTCCGCACTCTCACAGGGGAGCCCTTTTAAGTTTGACTGCGTTCAAGCATTTGCCAGAACCCGAGTCCCATTCCACTCATCTCCATGGTAAAGGGAGAAAGAGGGAAAGGTGGGAATGAGAAGGAATAACAAAAAAAGGGCATGAAAAAAACATTAAAAGAAATACTTCCAAAAGATTAACATCGGAAAAGGGGCTCGTATTATGTTTTGACGTTAAATGTTCTGAGTCTGTACGTTGCATAAGGGGTGCATACAACACCGGTGGCTGTGCAGTGCATGCGGACTCTATTTAAACACGTAAATACCGTAATTACTTTATTTCACATTTGGTTATTTCTTGTACGTTTTACGTGGGTTTCGATTACGTAGGATGGTATCTTAAAATTAATCAAATTGGCGAGAATTGAAACAAATATTTGCGTTAAAACACAAACACATTCGAATGGTTTTGCTGTGTGATATTAGGAAAGGAATATATTTAATGTGTAATACAATCCACAATAGAAGTTACTCTTTCGTTAATTGTCGATTGTTTACAGCTAAATTTTAAAACGTCCCGATCTAAAACAATGAGCAAAGCAAATAAGTAAAGTGTTATCTAATTAAGCAGATCCTCTAATTTCCTAATTAATATTAAAAAGTAACACTTTGTGTTCATCTTACCTATACACACATGCACATGTAAACACAAAAGTTTGAAATTTGTAGAATGTTTAATATTGGCATTTTAATATACGTTATAATGTGATCTGAACAGAACTATGAAGTCATTTGGATCGCCATTAGCCATTGTCTATCCACATGTGTCCCTTTGATATCAATGCTGAGTTAATACAAAGTACGATCAATCAGGCATTTCATGATCTTGAGTATTATGGATGAAAGTCACCATGCCCATGGCAGGTGCCATCCTCTCAAAAGGATGATGCCTGATACGTTTCCGCCCAGCGATGCAGCCGCACAATGTGTTACCTATTTTCCCGACACCTTGAGGATGATTGGTTGAGTGAACCCCGCAATAAATTTGAACCGTCGACGTTACGCCGTGAAACCCTTTCACGCCATTGACAGACGACCAGATCACTTCACATGACCGTGCACCTTGCAATTTATCATCTGCCCACGGCAATGCATGCGTTTCTCTGCAAGAGTGGAAGGTGAACATCGTTCAACTAAACTGCCTATGGAAACTGTTAATAAGGGGTCTAATACGAGCAGCAAAGAGCGAGCAAGGGAAGACTGGAATATATTAAACACGGCGTTGTCGGTCAAGAAACGTCCTGTGTTTCTCTTCAACCCCCATCATTCAGTATCGCCTTCACCATTTCAAAAGATATATTTCTTTTTTTTTTAACGATACACTCAGCATTCTCTTTTTTTTTCAACACACTGGACAAGAAGACAAACTGTTGCACACTTGGAAATGTTTCCCCTGATATTTCCAGGAAAGTTCAGCGTAAAATATGTTGGTGAGAAGCGAAACACGTTTGAATTGCCAGCAAAGTAGGAGATTAATGCTGGCCATTTGGAAAATAACCCCTCGTGTATATTCTCGCGAACTCACCCCACAACGCCCCGCGTCATGTGATTATCACATAAATCTATTTCAACACTGTCTCATTATTATATATATAAAAAAAAATTCATATACAAACTTAAAACCAAAGCGAGTCACTGGATTTACAGTGAGTAGTGGAAGATAAATTCGTATTATTTTTCAAATGATGGACATTTTAAAGTTGGGTGGCTAACCGCTTTTCCAAAAGGAATAGTTTATATTTCATGGATCTATGAGTGGGATTTTTTACGGTGATTTATGATATTTTTATACTCTGTGCCCAATTTTAACTGTCTGTGATTGGATAGGATTTGTCAAAAATAAATCTACTACATCTAAAATGCAGTTATTCATCACAATATGAAGAATCCATACCATTGTATTTTGTTGGCAAGGATGATACGTTATTGTGGAAAGAAGTGTGCAGTTTTATTCATCCTGTAAATTTCCCCCAACAACTGTAAGTTGAATAAGTGGCACTTATTACGTTAATGAAGTAAAATTTAAAACCAGTACCATATTTGTCTTCGTGCTGAAATATCACAATTGTCAGCCCCTGAATAACTTTTTTTTTAAACGCACGATACGCCGGGGAATGTTCCTACATAAACTACTTTTGAAACACGACCTGAGGCAAATTTTGTAGTCAATATTTTTATGCTAGCTTTAAACAACACTAAAACAAAGTTTATACTTTACAAAAAAAGGTAATTTTCCTTGCTCCCGCCTCTGTAGTAAAAATGTGTTCTGATTTGTTTCAACCAAATTTGCACGAGTTGCGTATAATAAGGAAAGCACCGATATAAATTAATAATTACTGCTTAGGGATGCCTTAGATCAGTGAATGTGCATAAAGACTCACACTGCCCAACTCAAGCAGTTTGGCATAACATAAACTGACACACAACCATCGCAGGAAAATACACAAAACAAACATATTACTAGACTGCACAGAATCGTCGAGATGTGTTGCGCATATTCAAAAGGAGCATCTTAAATTGTGTAATCAAAGAGACAACTCGATACAATGCTACGGTATCTAACCGCTAACGTTAAATAGCTTTTATACATCGCTGAGATAACCTCTATGATCCATGTCCAATAGGGAGGCCTTCATCCATGAAACAATGCCATCAATTTGATAAGCATTTTCTCCCACGCTGTAAAAGTTGACTACCATCTTCGACAGAAGGCCTTGCTGGAGGAGCGCAGATGAAAAACAAGCGTCGAGCATTGGGGAGGGGCACTTTTGCCGATACGACTTCATCAGTGTGAGGGCCGCCACACATGAAACCACTGGTCGTTTGACAGCGCGATGATGATGACGATGGGGGTGTGTACACCATTGGAACCTCATTTGCCAGTAAAAAATATGATAATTGGTTTTTTACCCTTCTTTCTGGCAACAAAACTGACTGGCATTGTCTTTGAGTTGTGCGCCTTTTGGCGTCATCTGGTCCAACCCAAGTGAGACTAGGCTCTAAGGAAAGCTGTCTCGGGTGTGGACCATTCAACGTCAAGGACAGTGCACATTATCAGAGTTATGTTTTAGGTTTGGATTATGGCTGCAGGTATTGTGGTCTATGCAAACATGACTCCTTGTAAAAAAGATGTCAGTTTTGTTGCCAGATAGAAGGGTAAAAAAAACAATTATCATATTTTTTACTGGCAAATGAGGTTCCAATTGTGTAAATGCTTACCCCGAGCTCTCATACTCTGATGGTGCATTGTCTTTGAGTTGTGCGCCTTTTGGCGTCTTCTGGTCCAACCCATGTGAGACTAGGCTCTAAGGAAAGCTGTCTCGGGTGTGGCACAATCAACGTCAAGGACAGTGCACATTATCAGAGTTATGTTTTAAGTTTGGATTATGGCTGCAGGTATTGTGGTCTATGCAAACATGACTCCTTGTAAAAAAGGTGTCAGTTTTGTTGCCAGATAGACGGGTAAAAAAACAATTATCGATGGGGGTGTGTTTCACGTGTTGTGTTTTGTCAGAGGCCACAAGTCAGGGGCCACAAGTCAGAGGCCAAGCTAAAGGCAACTAGGGGCCGCCAGTGGGCAGTGGGCCTTGCTCATGAAGAACGCTGGTGGTGACAGCGGTAGGAGAGAAGTAGAGAGGACGGATAATTGTTGTTCTATCATCTACTCACAGACGACGTCAGGCTGAAATAGGCTTTTGCCATTGTGCTGTACGTATGTTGAACTTCGTTCGCACAAACCGCACGTAGCCAACCGTGCTAATTGGAGGTGGAGTCGGGTCGTAACCGCGCGTGTGTGCGCGTGTGCGGCGTTTGGCAAGACGTCCAACGTTTTTGCCCAGTACCTTGAAGAAGCTCCCAGACCGCAAACGCAGCGGAGAGCAAAGAATCTGCCACAAATACCACAGTCGGCAGATTGAGCCACCGATTTTTTTGTTTGTTTGTTTTTGTAGTCTTACAAAGAGCAAGAGGACAGAAGAGTTCGGTATTTTTGTTTTGTTTATTTGTAAAAAGGTATTCGACATTATTTCTACAGTTTCCAAGAATACTTTCAGTATTTATAAATACAAATTGCAAACGACAATTCGGAAAACTGTGCAAAGAAATGGCAGGGTACAACAATCGGAAGACAATAAAAGTCGAAACATCTTAACTTGTCTGCCTCCAATAGCCTGCAACTCACTTGTATGTACAATTCATCAATTTGCTATTACTTATACAAAACGATGAAAAGAAGAAGAAAAAAGGAAAACAAAACCTCTTAAATACAAAATGTACATAAATTCTTGAAACATGTTAAAGTCTCCATCGAACTTTCTACTAGTATGTAAAAAAAATGCTTTATATCTACATAAGCTACAGCAGAATGCTTTGAATTGAAAAGCATTGAATGAAGAAATCGCAGTCCAATAATAACCGTCAGTGTTGGATGTTGCGAATTAACTGGTAAATAATCAAACTCTCTCCGAAGACTAATTTGTAGGAGCAGTTATTTTCAAAGTGTTGTCAGCATTTTAATCTCAAAAGTGGCATGCAGTAAATTTTTTCCAACTTTGATAAAAAGAAAGTCATTTTTAAAATACACATCAGTCAACGAAAATTATATACACGTGAGTGTTTCTATAAAACATGCTCGAATCGACTTGCCAAAACAAGCCCAAGTATGTATACTTAATGATAGCGAAGTTTAACTGTGTGAAATAAGCAAAATCTATTATAAATGAACTTTTCAGGGAAAAGTGAATACTTTAGAACCAAAGAGGAAAATCTGGGCAATGAAACGACTATTCTTTCCGCTATTTGTTTAATATGCTCCTTCAGAAATCCTTGATAAATGGCTATTGCTAAGGTTTTTAGTGCTAAATAAATCACACGCAGTCCTTTCAAGGCCACAGTCCTACCAAGCCTGCAACTTCTACTACTGCCAAATGTCACACTCAACAATTATGATAATAATTGAAAAGAAATAAGAATCGACTTGCCTAGTATTCTATCATATATAATATCATCATGTGAAGTGTTTTTTTTTTCATTATAAATGGAAATTTGCATTTAAAGAGGGACTCCTCTTATCCGTGATGTGGGGGACCAATTTTGCATATCCAATTATCCGAGATTTGACTTCACTTAACCATTTTGTTGTATTCAGTGAATATGAAGAACAGTGTTACAGATAATCGTTTTTTTTTCCAGACCCACTGCCTGCCACGGATAATAGGAGTCATGGATAATAGGGTGGCAGATAACAGGTCTTTTCCTGTTATGTCCTGATTAGTGTTAGAAACTGCAGTGTCTTAAAAATGTAAGTCTACATATCGTTGATTTAAATATTTAATTTGGCAGTTCTGCAATATCTAATATAAGATCTGTTTCCTTAAAAACTCATTCATAAAAGAATGACACCGTTAGGGCATCATGAGACCCACATAGGGGTGAAACTTGGGTGCCAATTGCACAATTACAAAATCAAATTAGACCCCGTATTTTTGAAGGCAGCCTCAACTTCCCAAACAACTCCCTATGCTAATTGTGTCATTAACTAATTATAAAAATATATAAGCGACGTATAAGAATACTTAATTTGATTGAATGAACATTTACAGTTTTTGGATGATGGTATTCTTTGTGTTAAATGTGGCCAGAGTTTCACAATGTTTGAGTGCACCTTTTTATCCATTAACAGCATGGGTATCATGTTTTACTTCAGTGAAAATTAACCTAGGTCACTATAGTGTGGTCGATGATAATAATACGTACGTGGGATCTGCATTCGTGAGTGCGTGTGTGCTTGCCACCATTCATATCTAATGCAATAACTGCTCCACAAATGTCAAGGTCTGTAATGTAAAGGCATTAATCAGTGTGAGGATAATATACTCCTTATTGTCAAAAAAGCCTTTAAAGCCATTTTTATATTGCAATATTAAAGTTTAAAACAAAGTCTCATCCAAAAAGCCCCTTTTGAAATCACTCTTTAAAGCAGTCATATTCTATTAGCATATCGTTTTTTTTTCATGAAATAAAAAATAAACGCGTGGTCAATAAAAAAAGTTATACATTTGAAATTGAACTCAGGTGTGACTAGTGTATGTTGACCATCCTTGTGAATATTTCAGTTCAAATAATGTGCAACGAAAAAACCCCCATGGTGAGAAAATACCAACAACAGTTTAAGCATCTGACATAGCCCGGTACACATCAAGGTTGTCAGCAATAGCATCGGTAAATAAAGATAATTGTGAGCGTGAAGCACACATGAAACCAGTGGTGATACACGGCACAAAGAGAGCAAAATAATGTGAGAACCACTTACAAATCAAGCGTGAATTGCACAATTAAAGCCAAAACAGTGGGATTTAAATCGAGACATCCAAGCTCATTTCAATGTGTTCCCTTTGTTCTTGTGACCAATAGCAGATGTGTTCAAGTGTACACAAAACAATTTAAGAATTCAAAAACAAAACAACTCGTGTTCCAACTTCGTCGTGAAAAACAATCAAGCGTAGCGGTTGTACACCAACCACAGTGACCAATTTCTTTTACCCCTTCCCAAATGTCCACAGAATAACCCACACAAAACTGAGAGATGTATGGAGAATGCTGCAATTCATTCTACATTTCACAGTGCATTTTAAAAGGGGGCATGTTTATCTTTCTAACTCTTTGTGGTACATGGCTAAAAACAAAGATTTCTTTCGCAACATTAGCATGGGCATTACCGGATAAAAAAAAAATCTGCTTTGCTGTAACGGTCCGGAATCAATTTAAACATGCAGAGAAGACGGCTGTGCCTGCAGGCAATCAGTACTCTCAGAGGCATGAACATAACACGGGTTGAGATTAACAGAGTACACCAAAGTGATACCGTTTGTACATGTTAGTTTCTGACTAAAGAGGAGGGAGCACTTTTATCATCCACGACCGTTAACGTAAAATGCTTTTATTAGTTAAAAAGAAGCCATTGGCCACCTACACACAGCATGCTGGGGCACCTGCCATGGCTGCTCTTGCCAATTATCCACATCTCAATGGTGCACGCGGCGGCAGCGATCGTTCGCGATTCATTATCAGAGCCGAGGATTAACGCACACGATCAAAGTGATCAAACTTGCCGTGCGCATGCCGGGAAAATTAAGCCGTGCAGCGGCGGTCACACAACCGTTTGCGATTCACGGCAGTGGTCGATAAACTAAAAACCAGACCGTGGAACAACACCCAAGCCACACACCACTTTGACGCATTAGCCACAATTATAAAAAAAAAATCATTAAATTTCACGAGGGTGATTAATGATCTGAAATTAAAAAATATATATATTTAAAATCCACTCATAATTCCTTTGAATGATATGTTTCCTTGGAAACTTACTGTTGAATAATACATCGTGTCATTTTGTATTATAGGTAGCGTTGATCATGGCACAATGAAAATTAACAGGGCTGCAGTGATATATTTGGTGTATTTATTTATGAGTGATCGTTACTTGCTGTGTGTTTGTGACCAAGGGGTAGTTACATTTCTGAAGTGTAAAAAAAAAAAACAAGGTTGGGTACATTGGTATAAAGAAGTCAAATCTATATCACCATCATCAAGAAAAAAAAAACTTCATATAACTTAAGAGCAATTCACACGAGAGATAAAATAAAAGCAAGAAAAAAACCCCACTTCCACGCACAACCTTCAATATGAAGGTATCTGCGTAGCCGTTTTGATTAAACATGTTACTTGTGATGCATTTTCCAAAGTCTGTGACTTAAGAATTAAAGGCAAGGCCTCTTTCTGGAAGCAAACTTTAATTCAATTTCCCAGTTCAACAGATCCTTTCCCTGCACATACTTAATCCCAGTCTTCAACATCAAGGTCTAGTGCCTATCAGAAACCATCAAACTCATCTTCACAGATGAAGGAATATACTTTGAGAGCTCGACGACACGAAGGTCAATTTTATATTCTGCACATCAGATTAGAAAATATCCACGGTAGAGTCACGGATGAGATGTGCACAACACTCCTTCACTCCGCATTCATGATTGTTTTTATTCTCCCCCCCCCTTATGGCCCAGAACTAACAATATTCAGGGGGGCGAGAGGGAGGGGATGGGGGACTGCGAATTGGATTGAATTAATGATCGAGTTCATGATTATACCAAAAAAATATAGATATAACAAACCACGTGAGCTCAACAAAACCTTCTTCCCAAGTTCACACTCTAACCATTCGACAACACAACGTTATCATCTTGCTTTTACTGCTCGTGTCTTTGTTTTCTCTCTGCTTGGTCGGCGTTTGCAATGACAACTTTTGACACGTGACTTTTGCAAGTCCAGGCAAAGAGGGGACGACAAGGCAGGAAGAATGTTCACTCTGCATCATTGCACCGCTTTGCCGGTGGGGAGCCGCCTCTCATTAGACCTGCACAGCTTGAATCTGGTTCATCTGAGCCCTCATCATCTGGATGCTGTTGAGGATCTTCTTTTGGTGGCCTGCCAGGGTCACACCTATTCTCAAGATGTCCCTAAGAAACACAAATACAGCCAGAGGAGGGGAAAAAAGAAAAGACTACCGTTAATACGTGAAGATGAAACATATATACGATGACTTGGTAACCAAACATGAAAGAAAAAAATAAGTCAGGTAAACTTCTTGCAGCATTCCCAGCTACAATTGCAACATTTATACAAAGAAAAGGTAAAGGTGCAGCCCTGCAATTGCTTGCTCACACCACTGTCGGTGGAAGGGCCCCCACTAGAGGGAGCTCTTGAGAGCCTCTTCAAAGCGAGTATTTGACCGCCTCTAGCAGGCTGGTCAGACGATCTTAGAAGAGGTGAGCGGTACCCACAACCTCAGCCCACTGCACACGACCTGCAGATCGACTTCCTGCTGGTGGTCCTCTGGCTGTGTGGACAGAGGGCAGTTGGGGTCATTTGGCAAAAAAACTCGCCGATGGTTTCAACCATGGCACCGGGACAATCGAAGCTGACGACTTCTGGATTGCAAGTCCAGTGTGGTACGCCTCACCACGGCACCAGCATCCCCTTAAAATGGAATGTGATGAGGTTTTTTTAAAAAAATTATTAATTTCGGTTGCTTTGATGTAAAAACATGCCAACATGCATTACTGTGATGTAAAAAAAAAACACGCCAAACATGCCGTATGGATGAGCATACACCTTTATCCTGTGGCAAGAACACACACATTATTTGCCACTGCTTACAGAGGGGAATGTGATGTGGACTGTAATGGATCGGAGTCAAGTGCAGTGGATGTAGACTATGTCCAAGTGTTTTATTTTTTATTATCTCTACAGTAATTAAACTTTTTTTTCTCTTCTTGGTTTATTTGGTAAAGTCACGTAGAAGGGAAATAATAAAATAATAAAAATAAAACATTATAAAATACAATTCTCACGACGTTTCGGCCACAACGCAAGCAGCCGTCCTCAGGTGAAGAACAGGGCTGTCGGAAAGACAGCGTCTGAATGTCGTGAGAATTGTATTTTATACATTTTTAGTTTTATAATTTTATTATTTTCCTTCTACGTGACTTTACCGAAAGAACCAAGAAGATGAATCCCTGCAGTCACGAAAGCTTTAAATCGAAATTTAGTCATTAAACTGTCTTGCATTACACCGAAAGACAACTGCCTAAACACTCTGGTCTTAATTTACAAAGACGGTCACGTGTACCGTGCAAATTAATCGTATTCATTCGAGTAATTCAGTGAGTCAATGCGTACCCATACTCAAATGAGCACTAGGCATTGTTCATATCGGTTTGTAATCCTGGACCAGTGGTGCCAATTCAACATTTTCTACGCATCCGACTACGCGCACAGCAATCCGCACGAGCGGAATAATGTCCACTTATTCGATATGAAAACCCAGCAATTCTGTCAAGTTCTTCGTGTGTCTTGGACTGCATCTGTCTGTCCATCTGCTTCTGCCTTTATTCCTCTTCCTTTATCCACAGCGTTTTTATTGAGCGTCAATCGCTCCCATCTTCTTCTGCGCCATTCGTTCTCAGATATTGTGCGATTATTTCCGTCTGGCACTCTCTTCCCACGTCTTGTCCTGCTGCTCTGTATTTACCTCGATTGATATTCTATTTCTCAGTGTACCCACTTCACACACAGACAGACAAAAAAACAAAAATCCCCATATAGCCTGTATTTACGCGATCTAACCCAAAAACCTCTATTATGGATGATATTGGTCGCAAAAGCCAACGTGTTCAACTGTAACAGACTGTTTGGGCAAATGGTTTTAGCGAGCATCTATGAAGGATGGCACGGCACATGATGGCGTGGGGTGGTCAGCACCACACCCGTCTGCCTTTTTCTCCCCTGTGATGATGTTTACACACCACACCAGGTACTCTTTGATGCTGAGTCGACCTAGGGGGGGGCGTGATTGGTTAAGACAATCGTCACTGGTGTTGGGCATGAGCGGGAATCAAACTAGGGTCGTCATGGTCGTAGCACTATGCGCTAACCGCTACACTACAACTCCCCACAACAGACGGACAAAGACAAAGACCCCCCTCCTGTATAGCCTTCACAGACTGTTGGGGCAAGTGCTGTTAGCGAGCACCAGGTGCTTATTTGAGGCTGAGTCGACAGACGGACACACACAGAGGCACAGACATATGGGTGTGGTGAACATATACATATTTACATACACATTTGATCAAATTCTCAGTCAATAAAGATAGCGGCCACTTTAAATGAAAACTTGGCAATCAAAATCACTTTGATCATATTTGAGTACACTTATTTTTTTTTTACAATTCTCATTCCTTATGGCCATGGCTCTTATTTGACCATACTTCACCACACTGGCCACAGCAGATTGTGGGGTGGGCGACTATCACCGTAACGTATCAGATCACTGGCTTCACAGCGCAGTGCACAAAACACTGCGCCACCACTCCCTCACCAGATCTTCTTCTTTTGCCATTGCTAAATGAGCAATGCTGCGTCTCGTTACATTTAAAAATCCCCCAGGATGTTCTCTTATATTGGGGGGGGGGGGGGGGGGGAAACATCTGTATGACATTATAGACATGTCAAAGGATTGTTATTTGTTTAGAATTCCCAACAGAATTCTAAAATCCTACAGGATCATTTGACACTGTTAAAGAATGTGTTTGGACTTGCGATTGATTCATATAGGCAATATTTGCAAGCGTGTTTATTAAAGGACTTTAACCGTGTCTCTAACTGGCACAATTCTGGCAGCGTGCTCACGGTCGACGTTAACCAATGCGTAGCGCAGCGTTGGCTCAAGACCTGTGACGTTCTATTGGAGATTATCACCATCGTCTATCATCGCCACCATCACTACGATCAGAAGGTTCGTAGAACCGTCTGGCATCCCCTCCCTTGAACTGCTCAGCGTAGCACTCAAGTCGCAGAGCCAGTCTCTTACAGATGAGAGATGAGTTGAGCACAGACTGGGATTTCAAGATATATATACAATGCTACTCGAATTCTAAATTGTAAAGAAAAAACAATACAAGATAATAATTTACCTAAAAAAAACTATCCCACTACCACAGTTATAATTTACATGAAGAGCAAAATCTCTCGTGTCAGATATATATTTATTTATTTACAGAATTTAAGTAATTGTTATTTCTCAACTAAGTCCATGCTACTGTTAAAATCGGTACCCTGTGATATCCGTACTGCATCCCTTTAAAAAAAAAAACACCGCTTATATAGACCAACAAAGAAAATAGGTACTCTCTTCCAACACCACATTTTATAATGACACAAATCAGCTGGTGACAACGTGCACCCAAACTCAAACGCTGGCATTCATCAACGACACTGCCTCAAGAAAAGAAAGCGTGAACAATGGGCAATGCTTCTGGCGATCGTCCTTCTTCACAGCACGTAGAGAAGTGTCAGAGAGGCAGCATGGAAATCCGAGTCGTGTCTCTCTCTCTCTGTGTGTGTGCGCGCATCGGCAACTTTGTGGACTTGAATGCGATCACCCCTGGCCACAGCTGCGTCTGACCCACCGCATGAAGCGCACCTAGCCATGGCACGAGCGCTGCGTCGATGTCCACCACCACGATCAAAAGAACGGCGCTTGCGGCAGTTTGCCGCTCGTGTTGCGTATGCGCAAGGAGGCAGCGAGGCGTTTCAGAGCTTGGACCATTTAGCTGCGGCGCATGCGAGGGGGGAGAGGGGGGGGCTAGAGCACGTGACTGCGCAAGGGGTACTCACTCTGCCGTCATGCGAGAGACCAAGTCGAAGGAGCTGAAGCCTGTGTTAGCGAAGTTTTCCTTGTAGCGACCCATCTTGATGGCATCCAGCCACTCGTCCACCGAGGCGAAGCTGGTGAAGTCCGGCATGGTGCGGTCCAGCAGCGGCTGGGAGTCCCTGCGCACGTCCAACAGTCAGTCGCACCCCGCCCCCCATGTGACATTAGCGCCAGCTCGCACCCGAACCGACGGACAAATCGGCAGGGATCGCACGCAAGCGACTATTCATTCGTGCACACCCCCTGACGAAGAGAGCCGCATGCGAGGGCACGGGGAAGGACATAAAAATAAATCTGGAGAGAAAAACATTAACCCGTAAAAACTAAGTTTTTCACTATAAATCCTTTATATGCATGGCATCGGTTTTATTTTATTATTCATTTCTGTTTTTCTTGAGTAAGAGTTTCATTTTTATCACATTGATATTTTAAATTAAATATGAAATTTATTTTTTCCTAAAAAGTTTTGGAAAAAAAATTTCACGAAAATAAATTGTCACGCACAACAAGTCTGTGTGCAAAATGTCAGCTCGATTGGATCACGGGAAGTGGGTTAAAAACGACCGAAAGATTTGCACGGTCGTAAGCGCGCAAGCAAGCAAGCAAGTGAACTTAATATAAAGGATTTAAAAAAACAAAATGGTTGCAAAAATGGTGCAAGGTCCAATTGACAGACTTGCCCCTGTCAAGGGAATGCTTTTAAAACAAATTTCTGTCTCTTCATGAGCTAAGTTCCACGTAAGTTTGCATTCGATTCAGCGGGGTGACGTAATTTAATTAAATAATTATTTCGCCCGCTCGCTTAATGTGGCTCTATGGTGTGGAAACGGTTTCTCGGCAACCACAGATCAATTAAGGAAAATTATGAGACCATGAGTTTGTTGTATTACTTACTTTACAATTGCATACCTTTCAGAATCCATAGCCTACTTTGGCTGAGGCTGTTAAACTAATCATCATCATCATCAGCCACGAACAAAATACAGCTGGATAAAGTGATCCAATCTCTCATAATTTTCCTGCAGTGTAATAATCGTCCTGCACACGAGATAATTCACTGCTCCATCTCCCCAGTGGGCACACTTGCTGTTAAACTCATTGACTCGTTATTAATTGCCTTCAAATACAGAACACCATTTGAAACTAATTCGAGTCCACAGCATACTTTTCAAATAAACAATCAGCTGTTGTTCAATGTTTCAAGTTATACCCACGTGACTTTACCGAAAGAAATAAGAGTATGAATCCTTGCAGTCACGAAAGCTTCAAATCTAGAATCAAGTTATACTCTTTGGTTCTTTCGGTAAAGACACTGTAGGTATAACATACAATAAATCACGACGTTTCGATCGCAACACAAGCGGTCGTCCTCAGGCGGAAAAAATATAATCCAGCAGTGGAACTGCTGTTTGGACATGTAACACGAGTTATCGTTATAATCACGGCTACTGGTAGAGCTACATATCAATCAACTGCTGGATGATGTCCTCCCCATGCTGTGTCAGCCATGGGGAATTGTCTGACCATACTTCACCATGCTGATCTGTGAGTTGGAAGGGAGAGACCCAGGACTGGTTCAGACATCACTCGCCACGGAAGTTATCCTTGAGTGGTCAGCTGGGTTCATCGCACAATACGCGAGCCACTGCACTCACGCTTTACCCCAGGGCTATGATGATATAAGCGGAAAAGTACAATGCAAAGGAGTTGTGCTTCGCGTATTTGAATTCTGCCATAGTAATGTGAAATTTACACCACTCCCACAGGGCCGTGAATGATTAGGAGCACAGCTCAATGCTTGTTTGAGCCCGGAGACAACCTACATTTCTAACCTGATGTGTATTTTTTTTTAAATAAATATGATTTATCTAAAGAGCACAACATTATACCAACTCCCACTCGGGTGCGCACACATATATACCAAAAGAGATAGACGGAGACACACGCGGAGCATACAAATGAACTGCCCTATTGCTCGAGCACAATGCATGCCTCCTCCTCCCGTCCATCCCAGCTGCTCAGTGGTCTCCCTCGCAACAGTGATGATCTACGCCACGCCGTCGTGCCCCGATGCAGCCAGTGCAACTCAGGCTCGGTCAGCCGCGGTGCATTTCGGCTGCAGTTGACCGTTGGGGGAAAAAAACTTCAATTTCTTCCCGAAGAAATGAGTTTTTTGCCGAATTTGAGCATGCTTCTTATCTCTCGCCCTAGCTTTCACTTTTGAGATCTTGGGACGAACGAAAATAGTGCTTTGGTGTTCACACAAAACTCAATATACAATGGTAGATGGAAAAGAGAGATAATCTTCGTAGAAACTTTGTGCCGCGTTATTTTGGGTCTGTGATTCTGCCTGAAGAATGATGACAACTGTCACTTGGCGAGAACACTCCTCCTTATATCGCCACAATGCACACACCTTGATATATTTTTTCACTACATACTGCATTAAACTGAACTTAATTATTTTATTTTACCAGGTAAGAACTACTGAGCTATATAGCTATTTTTCAGAAGCGACCTGGCCAACAAATGATAGCTCAATGAAGTGGATTATCGCGTGGAAATTTATAGCAGCCAAATACCCTAAACACATGTTTCTAAATTGTGGAGTGGAAAACCGGAGGACCTGGCAGAAAAATCCACTAGAATTTTACAGTGTAATTACTCCTTAAAATGTCATTTTGGCACCATGGAAATCGATCAAATTCACACTTTCATTTAGACATCCTTATTCATAAACACAATAAATTAAATAAATTAAGTAGGTTTGCTGCTAATAGATATCAATAAAACACCAAAACTGTTTTCTCACCAACAAGGCTATTCACGTAAACTTTACAAACACAACAAAAACATTTGTGTTGTTTTGGAGAGGGAAAAAAAAAGGCAAAAACATAAGCGGACAGGCGATTCACCATCTCAGATCTGCTGAAGAGATTGATAACAACCGATGGAAACTGGCCGTTGAAAAAATAATTGAAGAGCTTAACAGAGAGGGCCTGCAAAGTTGGGCTCAAGGTGGCTAGAAGCAAGAAGAAAAAGCTACGTAAAACAAAAACACTCGCTTGCCAAACGAGAAAAAGGAGCAACACAACAATATAGGGGCATACGTCATCCAGCTGTTGATTGATCATGGCTGCTGATAATGATAATGATGAAGAGATGCATCATTGCTCTGACAGCTCTGTAAATATTAATCACCAAAAACAGACAATACACCGCTACACAATTCGTATTCATAGAGCATTGTAAGGAGACCACACGTGAAACCACATTCAATGAACGAACATTGCCAAAACCATTCTCCTAAGGCCGTCCAACAATAAATAACAATCAGCCAGTCTTACACATGGGGCTTTTTCCAGTTATCGTGCGTTTTTTATGATTGCGTAAGTAATTTGAGCGGTACTGTATTTTAAACAACAAGTTCATAACAAAGGTAAATGCGATGCACCTCCGAGTGAAGATATCAACGCATGCGCTGCTTTGAGGGGCTTTTAAATGCACGACATGGAAGTTACTGTGATAGCCTTCACTGATGGGATTTGCAATATCCCTATTGAGAATGGTTAGAAAAGAGTATACTGAAGCATGCCGGATGAGTGCAGGACAACAACGATATAAGGTTGCAAAGTGTTTAAATGTTTAAGCCCAAGAGCTGTCTCTGTCCCCAAATTAGGCAAATTTCGAGGCTTTTGTTCAATTGAAAAGACGCTGCACAGCCTCTGTTAAGATGCAACATGGGCCAAGTAAAAAATAAAACACCTTCCATGCATAGATACAGAGACATGTTATATATTTTTTTTGCTTATGCATACTTTAAAATAACAAAAATAAGTTGAATTCTTGGTCGAAGTGAGATATTTCTGGTCAAGGTATTTTACGCATCGAGTCAAAAACCAAAGTGGCTCAACTAGGCAGGGCAGTGGTCATCTCTGTCAGTGGTCCCACTATGATATTGGGAATTCCACATCGCTATAGTGCAAGGCAGTGTGTACATGAGATCATAAGATAAGTACTCATATATATGTATACATTTTAAAGGAATGTATAACTCAGTGGAGTGGTGGTGGAGTGCTGAGGATGAGCAGAGTTCTATTTCTCGCCTCCACCTAACACCAAACACCATCCCCCACCCCGCATCTCACCTCCACCCCGTCACCAATCCATGCTGAGACCAGCAAGGTGGGGTATGGTAAAATAACCCCACGACAAACATTCCGTGGGGGAGGTGTCTTTTTCAAGATTGTGATTGGCTTGAATTCATTTATTTCATTATCACATCGGAGTTGATTATGGTCTCAGTTAAAAGTACAGTATAATGTGAATTATTATTAAAATAAATTTTTTTTTCTTTAAAAATTATGACTCACATTTTTTTCCAAATGCAAAGCCTGTGGCGTTGTTGCTTATGATAACAATGTAATCCAATCGATTAACAAATAACTTCAAAAATCCTGAAATATTCTAATGGAATTTTGAAACTGTTAATTAGCATTTTCGTTATAACCAGTTATAATTTAAAGTTCATGCTAAAGTTATATATGTCACGGACTCTTCTGAAGGTGGTCAGTATTTAACATTGCTTTTGAGAAATTAAATCCAAAATGCATAGCAGTTGGCAAGCTAAACTAAAATAACATCCCCTTTAGAAAATAAAAATATAAAAACCACATAGGCATTCCTTATTTTATGGAATAATTACCTCTGGGCAAACGCTCCATCCACTCAAGATTAGAAGAATAAAAATAATAATTTTATTTATAAAAATAGCGATTTACCTAGGAAAGCCTCAACTGAGCCCTGAGACTCATTCTCACAAAGGCTGCACTTGGGATGTTTGGCCAATTAGTATTTTCTTTGTGCCTGTAAGGATGAAGCTGGAGGACCTAGAGAAAACTCATATTGGCGAGAGGATAACACACAAAAAATGAACAAAGACCCACTTGACCTAATGTCTACATGCCATTTCAAAGCCCCAGGAGGTGTTTCTCACACACAGGCACGCTTGATCAGTTTAGCACCATTTGCCTAACCCTGTTTGCGGAATACTGGATCACAAGAATGTCCCAAAACACCTAGAATATATACTATAATACCAACACAAATAACTCTAAAA